GCCTTCCAATCCCAGGGTCCTGGGTTCAATTCCTGCCAGTTGCAGGATTTTTTCTCACGACATAAACAACTCCACTCCCTAAATCTCATATTCAGATAGTTTGTGTAAAGCATTTAGCATGTGTGTATGTTTGTCTTGTGTAAGGGATTGTCACCTCCAAGTAGGACAGTGATATATATTCGCTATTGGCAATCCTTGGCACGTGTGTTGTGTGCCTAAAGAAAGAAAAAAAATATATATATATATATTTTTTACTGTGATGTCCAATACAAAAATGGTGAGACCAAGACCAACCAAAGTGAACTGGTTCACTGAACTGAACCACTGTGTAGCAGTGCTGGTTGGCCAAGCCAAGTCTTTATTACAATATTTAATAAGGGCAAATAGAAAAATTTATTAGATTATCACTCCCGTCCGCGTCAAAAATTCAGGAAATATAGATGCAGGAATAAAAAAAAAATTTTTTTTTTTTGCCGCATCAATTATTCTAACAGCATAAAATAACAATGCAATTTTGTGACTTCAAATACATTTTCTTTAAAAAACTATAAAATTAAACCAGTTTTTATACTATATTACAACAGGCCCGGGTACAGGCCAAATATAAGTAGTCCCTCCCTCATCAATAAAAACAAAAGCGCAATAACGAATTGTTCGGATTAAAAAAAAAAAAAATCCGAAATCCGTCATCTTTTTTTTAAGGGTGATAATCTAATATTTTGAATACATTGAACACAATGAAAAAAGAAAAGGATTAACTTCGAAAATATTAAAGAAGACAGTTGTACTTCATCACTGTGTCCCACTATAGCCAATTCGGCAACCATTGGACACAATGAAAAAGAATATGATTATTTTTGAAAATATTAAACAAGATATTTATAGTTTATCACTGTGTCCCACTATAGCCAATTTAGGGCACATAGGAAAAATTATTAGATCACTACGGTATTTTTTTTAAGTGAATAGGGCGGGCCTTTTTATTTATTTATTTTAAATCGACTGCTTTTTTGTAATAGATGAGGGAGGGACTGTTTTTATTGGGCAAGAATATTGTAAATATTGTATAAAACTGGTTTAATTTTTATTGTTTTTTTAAAGAAAACGTAGGCCTATTTCCAATCACAAAATTACATTGTTTTTTATGCTGTTGAAAAAATGATGCGGCCAAGAAAAAGAAACACTTTTTAAAAATTTCCGCATCAATATTTGCCAATTTTTTTGACGTAAACTCAACCATACATATTCAAAAACAGAGTGACGAAAAGGACCTTCACGAAACTCTTAGGAGCTTTTAAAATGGAGACCCGGTGTTAAAATTAAAGTTTGTTTATACATAAAGACAGCATATAACTGCCTAACTACAAAGATACATCCCCTCTCACCCCAAACAGTCATATTTATTTGATTTACATTTATTTTGAACATTGCCATTAGGACATTGTTTAAATCCACACTGGCCTATATTTTACACTGATTGTACTGTGGGCAATACCAGAGAGGTTCATTTCCATTACATTTCTATAATACAGTGCATGACAAACGTCACTTAACCACTACTAATTCCACCTTAATTCGGAGT